TTCAAGAGAGACAACTCTGACTCCCAGGTTAAATACTTTCAGAACTGTTTGCTGTGGAAGTGCAGGCTTCCCCTAGCAGACAGGGAACCCAGAGGACACAGGTTCACCTGGCTCTTTGCTATAGAGTTCCACTCCAAACCACAACAGAGCTTCCATGATGCCTCATGGCAAACAGTTTTGGTTGAACCACGTAAGCCAACCATGACTAACTTGGTGAACTTTGACAACTTCTCCTTTATGCTACCCTTCAATATTTCAGGTTTTGCTAGAGTTAAAAAAAAAATCATCTCAATTCCAACTTTTCAACTATGTTCTCCTAACTGGGTGGTGCCTGATGAATTCATGCTTGGGTGAACTAAGTTCCCTTAAAAATACAGCTTGTCTGTCAAAATAATTCAATCCTATTTAGGGAACTGCTGGGAGGCAATGGAATCACACACACTCAGGAAAATCTTCCATTTCTTCTCAGTTCCGGTGAGTTCTTAGCATCTCAGCTGTGCTCACTGGCCGATGTGGAGGACAGTGCAGCAGAATAACCCTGTATACAGAGATGGTTAGCAAAAAAGGGGGTGTGGGGGCAGAACCAATGGCCTTCGTGTGCTGAGCACATCACCAGTGGAGGCAGAGGTTTTCTGGCCTGCCACTCTCACCCAACTTTGCTGTATCTGCAGACCACAGCCCTTGTTTGTTATCAGAACCTTCTAGAGTCTGGGGGTGGGTGGTGTTGCCCACTTCACAGGGCTGGGGTCCACCTGTACCAAACAAAGCCCCGCTTACAGTGCTACCATGGCCCTTTGATGTTTGTTTGTATTCTTGTGGGCAAAAGGATGGCAAGTCCCCTAATTACCATGAATCACTGACTTATCTCTGAAGAACCTGCAGAGAATGTGAGTCCTAGAGGAGAAATACATGTTTAATGGTCCCACGACAGTCAGAAGAGGCATTTAGGGGCTGGGTGGCTAAGAGCACCTGATGCTCTTCTAGAAGAGCCCAGTTCAGTTCCTAGCATCCACATCATGCAGCTTGTAACTATCTGAAACTCCAGCTCCGGGGGATCAGACACCTCTGGCTTCCTCATGCAGTCTCTGCCCCCACCTCCCTCTCCCTGTCTCTGTCTGTCTGTCTGTCTGTCTGTCTGTCTGTCTGCTCTCTCTCTCTCTCTCTCTCTCTCTCACACACACACACACACACTTGAAATTAATAATAAAAAAAGATTAGGCATTTAGTGTAAAGATTTAACCAGTATCCACTTTTGACTCTTATAATGGGAGAGACGAAAGACCTTGGGTAGATACTGAAGGAATCTTGTAGCTTCTCCCCTAGGCATTTAGATACATCTTTAACATATATTTTTCAAACTAAGGCAAACATCCAAAACATAAATCTAGATTTTTTTCTCTGCTAAATTTGTGCAGGAAGCTGAGAAAAACAAATGCCCTTACTTTATCTTTAGCCAGTGTCCAGCAAACTAACCAGGCCCCGCTGTTCTCACACCTCTAGAAGCACCCACAGGACCCAACATGGAAATGGGCAGCAATCTTGGCCATGAGCTCCCACACCAAATCTGAGCAGTAGGGTTGGTCATAAGAAGGAGGGAAGGAGGCTGCACCGAACAGGGCACAAAGCCACACATCATGCTTGCTCCACAGTCCCAGCACTCTGAAGAACAATCCACATTGTTTTTATAGAAGAGAAATGCATACAGACCTGCTCAGATCGCTGGCTGCAGCTCAACACTTCACTGACTCACTTTGTAATGCCCCTGCTGGTTTGCTGACAGGTAGATTTGCAAAGAGGCAGATAAACCAATAAAGACACACTACTGGCTGGACAGGGGACATGGAGTCTAGAGCTAACCGACCTGACCACACAGTGTTTCTGCAGTGCTTGGGTCTTAGGTAAGGCCAAATCTCTACCTTCTATCCTGTGGTTCTAAATGTGAAAGGACCTGGTGACATGTCCATGCAGAGGTACAGGGCAGTCATTGTCATTGTCAGCAATGGTAAAGACTCCTGCAGTGGTTATGTCTTTTGTCTCAGCAAAGAGCAACTGAGGCTTTTCTTTCCTGGGTTCATAACTACCTGGCTAAGACAATTCCCACCTGGCTCCCTAAGCATAGTGCATGGCAGATTTCTTGCTGCCCCACACAAGAGATCCAGCCCCTTGACTCAAGCCCCACTCAAAGCCATCTGTCTTACATTCTTTTGCCCTTGTTGTGCAGGAAAGGACGGTCTTAGAGCATTTTGGGGAATGTAGAAAAAAAAAAAAAACATGCTGCTGGCCGTGCTGCTGGGCAATGGAAGGAGCCTTGACGTTGAGATTACAGAGTAGGGCTCCGTGTCACATGTAAAAGGGCCATTTCCATACCAATGTGGATAGGAAGCCCAACACTGAAATTCCTCTGGTCATTCCCTGGAGATGAACCCCCTCAAGCCTCAGACTTCATATCCCTTGAAACCAGTCAGAGCTGGGATGGGCGGTGGTGGCGCACACCTTTAATCCTAGCACTTGGGAGGCAGAGGCAGGTGGATCTCTGTGAATTCGAGACCAGCCTGGTCTACAAGAGCTAGTTCCAGCATAGCCTCCAAAGCCACAGAGAAACCCTGTCTCAAAAAACCAAAAAAAAAGAAAGAAAGAAAGGAAGGAAGGAAGGAAGGAAGGAAGGAAGAAGGAAGGAAAGAGAAACAGTAGAAAGGTGAGAATATTCCAGCATTAAAATCTCTTGGTGAAACCAGTCAGAGCTTTCCCCAGACATGATCCAGAGTTAAGAACAACAAATGCCCAGTATGTCCGAATCAGTGCTGGAAGTGCAGTTTGTCATCTGCCAGGGCTCTCGTGGGGTACCTGTGAATGGAGGACCTCCAGCTACACACACCAGGGTGGACTTGGGCCAAAGGCCAGAGCTCAGGTGATGGGGAACTTTGGGTGCACTGGGTGGACTCTGGGGTGCCGGGTGTTGGTCAGACATAACTCCAGATGTGCTTGCCAGGGTGTCTAGATAAAATGGTGCAACACAGATGTTCCTCCCCTGTAACTGGCCTTGCCCAGCCTCTGTCCTGGGTGACAGAGAGTCCTGCATGACTGTGGGGCCGGGGTCTTGGCCTCCTCTGCTCTGAGCCTGTACCTAGGCCCTCTGGGTCTCTCACAGAAGCTGCAGATCTAGGACAGTTCAGCCAGAGGCTGTATACATTGAGTCCTTACAGAGAAACCCTGTGTGCACATCTTTCATTTCTGTCTCTGGGAACCCTGACTAACTGGCCCAGAGACAGCTAAGCCCTCGCTCTGCCAGAAGGTGGCAGAGCTTTGTGTTTGCTGGAGGGTGTCTGAGCAGCAGAAACTTTGTCACCAGCTTTCCAGGCTGCTGTGAATTCGAAGCTGAGATCCCAGGCATGAAATCCATAGCTCACATTACACTAGCCTTAATTTAATCATGTGACCGAAAGGAAACACTGGCTGGCACAGTCACACAGCGCAACAAAAAAGGAAATGCTGGATTTTGCAAAGCACCATGCACCCCATGGGCCTTCAACAGCCACACGCTGTTCTCAGGCAGGCTGGCAAGCACAGACCGTCCCTGCTGCGAGCCAGGGCCCAGACAAGTGCTTAGCTCTGTCTCCAGGCAACACAGCAGCCACCACCGCATAGAAGGAACTTTGGAGCTCGCTGCTGGAATAAAATTGTCTGTGCACTGTCTCTCCACACATGTGAATCACTCAGAACAGACACACAACGTACCTTCCTGGCCCAAAGCCTGACCCCCGTGCATTTCCTACCAATAAGAGCACCTTCAAAATCAGAAAAGAGCACATTTCTTCCACTGTTACCTTTTGCCTTGTGGATATAGTTCGCAGACAGCATCTACTTCCAAATGATTCCATAGTAATCAGGGCCAGTCATGGTCAGGGCCTGTGTTTGTTATAGGTTCTTTTAGCACCACTGTCCTGGGGATCTCTAGGGACTCTGATGTTGTGTAGCTATTTCCTCCTAATTGAAATATTCTCTTCTAGAGTGGGGAGGCAGGCTAGTGGGATTCAGGAAGTAGTTTACTTACAAGGCTCAAGAAGCTCCTGAAATTTACAGGACTCACTAAATTCCTTCCCAAAGTTATGTAAGATTAGTGGTTACTTGGGAGAGGAGATTCTCTGATTGTTTAAGCTACCTATAAATGTTTCCCTTTATTTTTATTTATGGGTGTTTTGCTTGCACCATATGTGTGTGTAACACATGCATGCACTGTCTTCAGAGGCCAGAAGAAGGTGTCCAATCCCCTGGAATGGGAGTTACAGATGGAAGGCTGCATCCCAGGTGCAGCAGAGGCACACAATCCCATAGGGAAAGGTCTCCACTTAGTGGGGGGTTATGAACACAACACAAGAATTATGAGAAAGAACTGTATCCCATGAGAATAGCAGTTTATAAACAGATTTGAAGAGCTGAAAGCTTGTAGAAAAGTAGAAGGTGTGATTCTAACAGAAAGACTATATGTAAACACATGATCCTTCCAGTACCTGCAGCAAGTGCTGCTTCTCCGGGCCAACAGTGCAAAGCCATGTTACACAGCCCTTTTGTGGGTGCTAGAACCGTGTCAACAGGTGCATATTTAACTCTGGGACCAGCAGGCATGTTGAGAATGGCTGTTCTAGACACTTAAGATACTGGGTATTTTTTAGCTCTACCTTGTCCAGACTTTGTAGGTACTGCCTGCTGAGTTATTAGGGATACAGAGAGGGGCCCCAAGATAAAGGCTGTGGGTCCTTGTCTTGAAACTTAATGTAGTTTGGAGCCCCATGCATCAGCTCATTGGACCCTCCCTCCTGGCCACTCCATGGCATGGGAGGGAAAGGGCTGTGCAGTCTGTAGCCAGGGCAGGGGCTATAGTGGACAACCATGACAAGCAATCGGCATGCACTCGGCATGAATGGCTACATGCCACCTGGGTCCACACCTCCACGATCCTGGCCTCCCCTCTGTCCTGCCCTTGCCCCAAAGCCCACACTTACCCGTTCCTCTTCTGCTCTGATGTCAGGCATAGTGCTCAGACACAGGCCGACGGCTGTGACAGCCACGAAGGCCACCGAGATATAGGCGAAGAGCTTGCCTGCCAGCCCGGAATGCGGGTTCTCCACCACATCGCGCAGGCGCCGTCGGCCCCGCTCTAGCCGCCCTGTCCCCAGGGCATGCGCTGGGCTCCCCTGTGGTCCGCAGCTGGGTGGCCCTGAGCACGCCTCGGCGGCCTCTTCCTCGCGGCGCAGGCGACGAAGGCAGCAGCGTTCCAGCCGCGCCTCGTCGATGCCCCAGTAGGCTAGCTCGTCGCGGAAGGCCAGGGCGCACGGGCCCCTCAGCAGCCGCAGCTTGCCAGCACGCAGCAGCGCCACGATGGCGCGGAAAGCGCACGGGCTGCGGTCGAAGAAGAACTCGTCGCGGCTTACATCGTAGTCGTCACACACACGCAGCAGCTCGTCGTGGCCGCGGCAGGCTCGCAAGCGCTCGAGGCGAGCCAGGGGACAGCGGGCCAGCGCGGCCCAGGCCAGCCGCACCCTGCAGCCCCCGACGTTGATAATGACATGTCGCGCCCGGGCCGCTCGACCGCCTCTGCCTCCCCGGCCTGTGCTGCCAAGCTCTGGGCCGGGGACCTCCGGGTGCCCCGGGAGCCGGGCCATGGCCCCATATGCCAGCTGCGATCAGGAGACTGGGCCTGCAAGAGGAATCCGAATGTTAAGACTGAGGGCTGAGAAGGCCTGCCTAGTCAAGTGTCCAGGCTTCCGGGGACCAGGAGCGTCCAGTCCCCAGGTCCAACTCTGGCACACTTGCAGGCTCCACCTTGTCCAGACATGGGATTCTCCCAAACTTTCCAGGGGACATTTTACCTTACTTCATCTCCTAGAGAGCAGGGACATATAAAAATTTCTCAGGCAAGGAGGAGTCATGGGTGGAAATGGTTTAAGAAACCTTAGACGTGAACAGTTCTTGTTATGTAGCATAATAAGGCTTTTTACAAACCCATGTCTGGTCAGCCCTGGGCTGGTCAGTGTTTAAAAAGTGAGCATCTACCCCACCCTTTAACAAAGGAAGAAAATAGAGGTGGGGTGGGGTTTGCCATAAATTAGAAACAGACTTATGAAATTCCAGAAAATGCACGGTGTGTACACTGCTCTGGACCGGATTTAAAGGAACCAATTATAAAAAAGACATTTAAAGCCAAATGAGAAACACTGAGCACAATGTAGGAAGGAAAAGAAAATGTAAAGCTATGATAATTGTATATGAAAAACCAGGGCAGTTTTTCTTAGAGGTCCTGCCTGCATATTCGCAGACACTGGTGGTCGCAGAGGAAACTGCCTACGTCTCACAGCGGTTTGCATCACAACAGGCCTTGCTATGCTTCATGCATCTTTGACATCTCCATGATGGCAGTGGTCCACTCTGCTTGGAACAAAGCTTCCAGGTAATTTTGCTGCACAGCTGGGGTTTAGAAACACCAATCAATCAAGAAAGGCAGAAACCCACAGCGCTTGATTTTTCAGCCAGCCTTGATTTCTAAGTCAGAGGAACTGTTTGGTACCCACAGAAATTCTTCAGATGGTCTGTGAGCCTTCTAGGTTTCTATGCCAACTGTTTGGCATACACTTTTTTTTTCCTCCACTGGGCTCACTTTTCCTGGAGGATTCTATATAAGGGGTGGGATAACATTATTAACATCCAAAATTTGGACTGCACAGAGGATTCTGCTCTTTTTCCCAGAGGACTCCCCACCCCCTCCAATTTACTGTTTACAGCACTTCTTTGCTCCCTGGAATAGAGGGACAGAGGTCCAGCAGAGGCATGTAGAGCTGAGGTAACAGCAGCAAGAGTATGGAGCCGGCAAGTCCCAGTTGGTTCAGGTTGGAGCAACCAGCCATTGGGGACACCATGAGTGTCTGTTGGGGGACATTTCTCCCCATGTTCTCAAAGTGACAGACAGACAAATGATAATCATCAGTCCATATACTAGGAAAGAATTTTCCTAGCACCAACCATAGTATCCTATGTGACAAATACATTGCACAACAAAGCACTCCAAAATCCATCCTTAAGGTAATAAAAAACAGGTAAAACTTTGTGACTAAAAACTGTCAGTGACCATGAGGACCTTAAGAGAAAGCAACTGAATTTTAATGAGCTTTTGCAGCAACTGGACTAACCCTGTGTCTGCCCTATTCCAGTTCAAGGAACTTCCCTTACAGCAACCCCTGAGCTTAAGGAACTCACCCCACAGCCACCCTCTGATCTCAGCTTGGGGGACTCCCCCACAGCCACTCTCCTGTCTCAGCTTGGGGATTCATCTTGTCGATGTCCTGCACCTAGTTCAGAGAACTCACTTTGTCCACTCCATGCTCCCAGCTCAGTGGTGCCTTTGAAAAACACAGCCTGTATTACTGACACCAGTGCTGGCAGTGGAAGAACACACCTCACCAGGGGTCACCCTCCAAGCTCCAGGAAGACTGACCCAAGGCTTTGCCATTATCTCCCACACCAGAAACCTTCCTGGTGCCAATACAGCCAGCTTAAGACTGTCTGTCAAAGCCATCCATGGGAGGATGGTTTAGCTGTTATTGCCTAAGGCAATGGATTGCAATTGGAACAAGCAAGAGCTTCTGAGGACAGGCCGGACATGAGGTGCTTGGGGAATAAGGAATTGGAAGATGCCATACATATGCCAGGGCTGCATGTTAACTCAGTGCATCTCAAAGAAGCATCCAGTGCTTTTTGGTGCTGACCTTTAAGCATGAAAGCAGGTGAGCAGAAGCACGGTACAGGCCACCTGGCTGAGTGCTGCCAAGACTGGGTTTGCTTTTCCTCTGTGAATCTAATGGAACAGAGACATTATGGCCAGGTCTGACAAGGCAAGGCATACAGAATTTACAAAAATCGATGCTTTAAACTATGGGCTGTGCAAACAAACACCACTGACTATGACAAATCAGTGAGTAGGGATCTGGTTTCCAGATCTGCTGCTTACACTATTCAAAATGCCCAGTCTTCAACAGCATCAATTACAGACTATGAAGAATAAAGAAGAATGACCACCACGAAGGCAGAGAGCAACTAAAATGAACTGTCCCTAAGGAAACCTGTACAGCAGATTCACCAGATATGATTAAATAAACTAAATTAAATATGTTCAAGAGATAGCCTACGGTAATGATGCATGCCTGTAATCCTAGCACTTGGGAAACTGAGTTTGAGTAATGAGTTTGAGGTTAGCCTGGGCTACAAAGTAAGTTTCAGGTCCTCTTGGTCTGCAGTGTGAGACCCTGCTTCAAAAACAAAAATCAGCAAACAAAAAAGTTAAAGGAGGTCATGCCCTAAAGGAATCATGAGAATGACTCCATAAGCAGTACCAATAAGGAGACAGAAATTATAAAAAAGGAAGCAGGAGAATACTGGAGCTGAAAAGTATACTAAGATCAGAAGCTGTAGAAGTGAGCAGGCCTCAGGTAGTGTCACAGTGTTGTGGGACATTTGTACACTGGTATTGCTGTGATTGGTTTAATAAAGAGAGGGATGGCCAATAGCTAGGCAGGAGGTATAGGCAGGACTTCCGGGCAGAGAGAGGAAGTCGGAGATGAATCAAGGTGTGCAAGGTGCCATCTAGATGCAGAACAAGTTGGACACATGAAACATGAGAGAGGTAAAAGCCATGTGGTAGGGTATAGATTAATAAAAATATGGGTTAATTTAAGTTGTAAGAACTAGTGGGACAAGCCTAAGCTAAGACCAAGCTTTCATAATTCATAATAAGTCTTGGTGTTGTTATTTGTGAGTTGGTGACCCAAAGGAAAGTCCAATTGCATCACAGGAAGAAAACAAGTCCCGTGAGAGCCTTAAGGCTCAGAGGGGAAACAAGAATGGGAAGCAGAGCTGTGGGCAGGAAGAAGCCAACTGCCTTGGGTAAGACGCATCCCAAAGGGAGAGGAAAGGGGGAAAAGGTGAAGACAACGCTTGAAAAAATGCCTTTAAAAATCCCTAAATCTGAGAGTCAGCTAGCTATCTTATAGGATGAGCCCCCTAAGAGACCACCCATGATCCAGTAGATGGCCTACACCCAAGTGCATACAGGCAGAACTAAGTGGACATGCTGGGTTTAAGAAAAAAAAGAACACATGAAACTTGGTAGGGACTGGGGTGGGGTTGGGATAGAGGAGGAATTGGAGGGGAGGGGTTGGGAGATGATGGACTTGATCAAAGCATTTATGTTTATGAATTTCTCAAACTATAAAATTATCCCCATATTTGATGAAAGCCATTATTCTGTGTCTCAAGAAACTCCAAGCCAGATAAATTCAGAGATCCATAGTGGCATAGCTCACATTAACTGTCTAAAGACAGGATACAAGAGTATTTTGAAAGCAGTGAGAGAGGCTACTTGTTATTCATCCAAGGGATCTTCACTAGGGGAAACTGTCAGTGTCCCACCTTGAGGCCAGCAGGTGGAGTGAGGGCACACCTCACACAGAGAGATGCCACTTGGTTTAGTTATAGCCAAACAAAGGGAGCTGTGGAAATAGCTCAGTGTAAAAGCTATACTGTGATCATTGCAAGGCACTGTTAATGTATTTTTAAAAAAAGCTGACCTGCATACTTTAAAACAATTAAAATGTTAAGTATAATTCTATGTGATTTTTATTTCAACTGGAACTCATTCCAAGCAAGGAGATCTGGGTGAAATCCAGTACTGTGCAGGTGCATTTGCACATACAACGGAGAGTCTGAGTTTAGTCCCCAGCATTCCTGGAAGAAGCCAGAGGGTGATGATTGCTTTTAACCCCAGATCTGGGAAGGCAGAGACAGGCTGGTCTTTGGGGTTCACTGGAACCAGTCTAGATGAACTGGTGAGCCTCAGGTCCCAGCAAGAGACCTTATCTCAAAAAACAAGGTGGACAGCTCTTAAAGAATGACACCTGACGTTGACCTCTGGCCTCCACACATATGTGTACATATGTGCACATGCTCAAACACACACACACACTTACACACCAAACAGATGGTAAAAACAAATGTTAGAGAAGATGTAGAAACACTAGAATGTCATACGTGGTGGGAAAGCTACACAGCACAGCCCATAGCAAACAGTTGGCAGTGTCCCCAAGATTAGACAATCACCTCTCCTCATGACTCAGCGATCACCTCCTACATAAGTACCCGAGAGGAAAGAAAACATGCATCCAAACAAAAAGGTATACAAACATGCTTATAGAAGCCTTCAAAGTAGAATGAATATATCCCAAATTCCATCAACTGCTGAGTGCAGAAACAGAAGCTGGCACCTCTGTGCACTGAAATATTACTGAGACAAAAGCCATGAAGTAGTACTACTACCACATGGACAAAACTGGAACATGCTATGCCACATGTAAGAGGTCAGACAGAGTGAACCCACTGATATGACATGGGTTAGTTCATTCACTGAGACCTGAATTAACAGTGCAGCAGGGGAATGGAGCACAAGCATTTAGTAGGTGAGGGGTTCCTGCTGGCATGATGACAATGGCCTGAAACAAGGGGTTCCGGCTGAAACAAGACAGTGGTAATGATTCTATAACATTGTTAATGTGTTTTATAAATCCACCAAACCATATACTTCAAAATGATTAAATGACTTTATCTCAGTTTGAAAAAA